ATATTCATCGATGTTGACGAAGGAGCCCAGCACTCCCTGCTCCTTCAGCCGCTGTTCGCACAGCATGCTGCGCCGGGGCACGAACAGAATGTGAAAATCACGTGCTGGATGCATCTTGTCTTCACTAAATATATTCTCAGCAATGATGTCCATAAGTTCCAGCCTGGGACGGACAAAGAAGATGATGTTTTTCACATCAGCAGGGGGGAGTCTGCCACCCTTCAGGGTAAACATCTTTTCCACTTCATGTTCCTAAAAACACAAACGGTGTAAATTAAAACCATGGCTTCAGTGAGCAACAAGTCATTAAAATATCAACAGAATTAGATGTGAACTTTTGGGGTTTGGTGAGTTAAAGTTTACATATTCATTTACAGATGAGGTACTTACCTTAAGCAAAGAATACTGAGCTATCAGACCAAAAGGTCCAGTCAGGTACTCATCCCAAACTATGGCCTGAAAAGCATGAGAATGTGTTACTATGCAAGCTGGATGTTTCTATGCACTCAACATGACATGACAGCCACCATGTTTTAGGATGTTTTAAGATGCATTTGGGCTGTTTTTGTTTAAGGTGCACAGTTTTAAATTATAGATTTACCAAAATATAGTAGTACAATCGAAAGTGATAAAATGGGACTAAACCGATCGCACATAAACTAAAGAGTGTCTAGCAATCAAGAAGAGCTTGGCATGATTCCAGGCAGATATTTGATCAATCTTCTGTTAGGGAAAGGGAGATTTAATCGAAATGATTTGGTTAAACAGTTTCAAATCCACACATTTTCAATAGGGTGTAAGCCATGGCCTTTCCACTAGGGCAGGGGTCTTCAAAGTTTTCCAGGCCAAGGACCCCCAAACTGATGGCAAGATGGAACGGGGACCCCCTAAGAAATTGTGTTACATCAAACTGGTCCTATAGTCACTCTATTACAGATGGAGTCATGTAACGAAAGTAATTTCTCCCTATGATTATTAAAGTATTTCTGATTCTGATTCCTGGTTGATGGGACAGGTATTGTGAATGAAACGATGCCCAGCTTGAAAGAGCTCCTGTGTGTCGCTGAATGCGTGCATTGATCATGGGCAGTTCTAGAAAGGGGCCAACAGGGGCCAGTGCCCCTGTAGATCATGTTATAGCCCCTGTACTAAAGACATAATACTCAGAGAAATTCTAATTTGGGCTGGAACAGACATGATTACTGATAGGTCCTTTGGATCCTTTTCATTTTTTTCTTTACAAATTCTGTTTTACTTATTATTTAAAAACAATAAGGCGATAGCTTCAGTGGTGTTGAGATACGAATCAGGTTTTCTTCTGCTCAATGTTTTTTTCAAAACAAATTGCTATAATTTTTATGGCTGAATTTATCAGTTTTTCTTGAGTTCTAATTCAGATTTCAGAGAAAAAAAATAATTTTAACATAAATCAGGTCAAAAATATGTATATTCCTAATTCATGAATGTTTATTGATCCAATAGGAAATAGAATTTTAATAATTAAATCTAATTGAATAGAAATTTAATTTCATGCAGCTCTCTTAATATATTTAAATGCCTTTTCTGTTCCCCCATGAAAACACGCTGGCCCCCTGCTGGCCCCCCTCGTACATTTGGTCTAGAACAGCCACTGGTTCGAATTCATGTGTATTTAAAGACATTTCAATTAGTGGAAAAAATTGTAGAGGGGAATATAAAATAAAAAATCTAATAAAGCAAAATTTTAGTGACCTCCATGCAATACCTCTGTGGACCCTCTAAGGGTCACGGACCCTCTGTTAAGGTATTCATCCATTAGGGTAATGGATGAATACTTTATTCTTTTAAAAAACTAGAATATGTAGAAGTACATGCTGCTGTCCACGATGAAGTCAGTTCAATGTCAAGTGGCCACAGGTTTAGAAATAGGAGCCTGCTCCAAAACCATCATCAACCTTTTATTTTTCAAAAAAAAAAAAGGATTTATGGTTAAACTACAAAGCTATTTCTATCTCAGCACAATGTCAGGTGTCTTTTTTTTTTTGATGGACTCTTGGTAGGTGAAGCTTTCCAACCTCAAAGGGCACAGAATGGAATGTGAAGCACGGTGGTGGTAGAATCATAACGAGGCTCTTCAGTTGTTTGCACAGATATATCTTCCATCTTACTGATAGGAATAATGTTTTTTGCCTTTTGTTCTGTGCATTAATTAATTTTTAGGCATTTGGCCAGAACCTGAATATAATTAAACTTTTTTTTTTTTTTCATTTTCAAGGGGTGGTTAGCAACCCTATGCACATCTGTTACAAAAGCGTTAAGCAGTAAGAAAAAACCTTACTACTGTTCTGACAAATTCATGATTGAAAGCACAGATAAAATGCTGAATATAGACAGATAAAGCAGACTGAAATAAAGCGTCTGAAATAAGCCTTATCTCCAATCTTTAAGAAAATATTGGACTTGGTGCAACTAAAAGGACGTTTATCTGAATGGTAGGCTTAAGATTCGTATAAACGTACACCTAAGTGAATGCAAATAGGAAAAGGTTTTATCTTAAAAAATAGGAAGTAAGAAAGCAGTTAATATGAAAGCTGATTAGCCAGATTCTGTCACTCTATAAGTTCGTATAATCCCTGAAAAACGTATTTGAATGAATATAATTCAGAATTAACTTTTTGTTGAACTAAAAATTGTGCAGCGAAAAGCGATTAATGCTGTACAGGCTTGGTTCTGTGATGTCAGAGGAGAGAAAACTGCTCAGTTATGTTTCATTTAGCATCTTAGTTGGAATCTGAAGGGAGACATCCAAACACAACATTCTGTATTTTTCTTTTGTTTAACCGCATTAAACGGCTGCAGAAGAGTTTCTCACCTTAGTTCCTGCACATTTGTCCAAAAATTCTCGAAGCTCTTTTCGTGCCGCTTCTCTCAAGATGTTTAAATTAACTCTGCCGTAGGACAGATGGGCAGCCATTTTTTCCTTCAACAGCAACAACCAACTGAAGTCAGGTGACTCTAGCAGGAAGTCTTCTTCTTCTTCTTCTTTGTTAGATTGGCGGATTGTAAACAACTAATAGGCGCATACCGCCACCTACTGTACATGAGTGTGTAGCTCTATAGTTCCACCTACTATATTCTATTTTTTTATTTTTATGTTATGTAAAAATAAAAACAATGCTTTGTTAATAATCAAATTTTCCTTTAATACTCCATTCTCTCCATTGTTGTTAAAAGTAAAAGTCTCCCTTTTTCTATAATTACTTTCCTCATCTTCTCTCTTCCCAGCAGGAAGTCAAGATTTTCTTCTTCTTCTTTTATATTATTACGGATCGCAAGCAACTTTAAGTTGAATACCACCACCTACTGTACGTGAGTGTGTACCAACATGACTTCACATCCAATTCTATTTATTTTTTTATTTTGTATTCTGTATTTATGAACCAGAAAGGGAGAAATTAGAAGAATGGTTGGAAGGACAGGCCAAGAATGGAGTCTTAAAGGAATATTGGGAAACGAAAAAATATAAATGATATTTACAGATTAAGGAAAGTATTATTTATTTATCTTCAGAATACAACATAAAAATATTGAATTTGATGTAAAGTAATGTTGCTACACACTCGTGTACAGTAGGTGGCGGTATGCACCTTGAAGTTGTTTGTAATCCTCCATAATAGAAAAGAAGAAGAAGAAGAGGGGGTCTTTCAGTAAGCGAGTGGTCAAGATAGTTCACACCCTGTTCCAATCAGTATAAATATAAAGTTGTTTTTTTTATTATTCTTTCCAGTATGTTGGCTTTGCAATACAATGATTTAAAATAAATGTAAACAAATTAACAATGTAGTGCATTGCGGTTAAATATTTGCTGTTGATATGTCTTTTTGTAAGTAACTGTCTAAAATACCACAACTAAAAATAATAAAAAATGAAATATAATAATAATAATAATAATAATAATAATAATAATAATAATAATAATAATAATAATAATAAACAATAAAAAAGGAAATATATATAATAATGATATCAGTATTATAATAATAATGACGTAGACAGATTTATTTGTCATTTTGTTTACAAAAGTGTAAAACAAAAAGAAATTTCGTTTAGAACAGCTCTCTGGACAATTTCATTTATTATTTAATAATAATAATGATAATA